ATATCAGTTAAAACTCGAGGTTGAGTAAAAATATAGCCGAGTTCATGAAACAGTGTAATGACAATGGAATAAGTTCAAATAATATTTCAAATAGTGAGGAAAACAGTGATGATAGCTCATAGGGAGTTCAAACAGTCGGCAATAAGCACCAAATATGGCAATAAGCCCAAGTCCTAGTGAAAAATAACAAGTTTCAAACAGTCGGCAATAAGCACCAAATATGGCAATAAGCCCAAGTCCTAGTGAAAAATAACAAGTCATAGCGAAATACACGGTAAAATCAACAACCGGAACGGACCAAGTCACAATCCCCAACGGTGCTCTACCCCACGCTCTCTATCTGGCGTGCAAGTCACCTCAATATAGCACTATGGGTGCAAGTCCGAGGTTTCAAACCCTCAGGATATCATTTACAATCATTACTCACCTCGAACCGGTGAAATCTCAAACCTGCGACGCCTTTGCCCCTCGAATCGGCCTCCACGCGCGCCGAATCTAACCAAAATCTGAGCGAATACATCACAATATGCTAAGGAAACATAACCCAATCGAAAAGACTCGGAAAACATCGAAAATCACGAAGTTGGCAAAAACCGAGCCCCGGGCCCACTTCTCGAAAAATTATAAAATTCACATCACCGGATTCCTTATCTCCTCACGAGTTCATACATACTAAGAACATCAAAATCCATCCACAATTGACCCTTCAAATCCCAATTTAAAAATTTGAAAATTCTAAGCCCTATTCCTCCATTTTAGCAAAAATTCAATGATTTCCTAGATGGATTTCACAATAAAAACGAGTTTTGAGTCCAAGAAACTTACCTCCAAACGTTCCCCCTTGAATCCCTCGTTAATCTCCTTCAAGAATCTCCAAAAACGAGCAATTATGGTGTAAAATGACCCCAAAATCGCGACTGATGTGTTTTAAAACATTCTGCCCAGGTATTTACTCTTCGCGATCGCGGAGAACAATTTTTCCAGCCCAAAATTTACTCTTCGCGATCGCGGTCAATGCTTCGCGATCGCGATGAACAGTTCCCAGCTCTTCCGGACAGCCTCCAGTATAGTGATCATAACTTTTTGCACACAACTCCAAATTACGAATGGTTTGATGTTCTGAGAACTAGACACATAGGGCTATAATTTCATATGTTTCTCATTTCCTGACTCCTTATACATTGCGAGATATAATCTTCCAAACTCATCCCTGTGTATTAGAGACCTTCCCGGGCAGCCTATAGTATAACCACCATAACTTTTTGTACACAACTTTAAATTCCAATTAGTTTACATTTCTGAAAACTAGACACAAAGGGCTACAATTTTCATTTTTAGATCATCTCCAAGTTCCTTATAGATTATGAGATATAAGCTTCCGAACTGGGATCAACGCAACAGAATATTTCTTCTCCGCGATCGCGAAAGGCTTCACGCGATCGCGATTCATTGGCACGTTTCTCACATTTTACTCACCGCGATCACGACCAATTCCCCGCGATCGCATATAACACTGCTGTAGCCAAAAACCAGCAGTTAAAAATGGCCTAGAAATGGTCCGAAACCACCCCGAAACTCACCCGAGGCCCCCGGGACCTCAACTAAAAGCACGGACATATCCCATAACATCATTCAAACTTGTTCCAATCATCAAAACACATCAAACAACGCTAAAACCATCAAATCACATCGGATTCAAGCCTAAGTTCTTCAAAAACTTTCGAAATGCTTTTTCGATCAAAAAGTCTACCAAACCTCGTCCGAATGATCTGAAACTTTGCACGCACATCCCAAATGACATAACGGAGCTACTGCAACTCTCGGAATTCCATTCCGACCCCTATATCAAAATCTCGCCTATCAATCGGAATTCGCCAAAATACTAACTTCGCCAATTCAAGCCTAATTCTACACCGGACCTCCAAAATAAATTCCGATCACGCTCCCAAGTCTACACCGGACCTCCAAAATAAATTCCGATCACGCTCCCAAGTCACAAATCATCTCCCGAAGCTAACCGAATCACCGGAAATCACATCCGAGCCCTCTAACTCATAAGTCAACGTCCGGTTGACTTTTCCAACTTAAGCCTTCTTAAAAGAGACTAAGTGTCTCATTTCTTATCAAAACCAATCCGAATCAACTCTAACTCACCACATACCGGTAATGAAACATGAAGAAGTAATAAATGAGGAAAACGGGGCAGTAATACCTGATACGACGGGTCGGGTCGTCACACCGGTGAAGAAGCTGAATGGCTTCGAAATTTCTTAGAAGACATTCCGTTCTGGCCAAAACCTTTGGCTCCTATTTGCATACATTGCGATAGTGAGGCTGCAATAGGACGGGCAGGGAGCGTTATGTATAAAGGAAAGTCTCATCATATACGACGAAGACATAACACCGTTAGACAACTACTTTCTAGTGGAATTATCACTATTGATTATGTAAGATCAAAGGATAATGTGACGGATCCACTTACAAAAGGCTTAACTAGAGAGGGAGTTGAGAAATCATCTAAGGGAATGGGACTATGGCCGAGGACAAGTCAACATGGCGGTAACTCTACCTAGAATTTTGGATGTTCCGAGATCTAGGTTCAAGGAGCTCAAACAAAGTTGTGATTGACCGGTTCAACATTGTCAAAGTAAAATCTTTGGTCCCTTCTCGTGATGAAGACAATGTTCAGTAACAAGGATAGAACTTTACACGTTCTTTAATGATTACCTAAGTTTGATGTGGTAGTTATCAAATAGTGTCAATCTAAAGGATTACACGTTTAGGAATCACCTATGTAAGTGTGAAGTGGAAGCCGCTTCAATGAGAATTCTGTAAGGCCAATTCTCTACGCACTTATGAGACCAGGCGGTGTTCATGGCTGAAACGAACACAACAATGAGAACTAAAAGACGGTTAAGGGTTGATTGTATGACATATGGTTGTCTAGGTATACACTAAAGTTCGACGGTTCAAAGATATCAAATCTACCGATTGACCGAGTATATCCGACATATGTTCACTACGGAAAGTTCAAAGGGAAACCTACTTATCCAGATGCAATTAATCCTTACTTGCAAATCACACAGCTTTCATCTATGATCTTTCTTGATACAGCCATTCCCATTCATGTGGGGATTGTTGATTAAC